TATTAGTGTTATTTTTGATCGCTGATATCATTGAAGCAGTTGATCTGAAGAACTTTGACCTTCAGATGTTTTTTGTATAGCGTGAAATTGTCACTAGTAATACCACTAGAGGTCAAATTATTTCCGGAAATTTTTTCGAGCTCACGAATATTTTGAAAATTATCCCGAGTCGAAGACGAGGGATAATTTTCTAAAAATATTCATGAGGGAGAAAAAATTTCCGGATTTAATTTGACCTCGTATGGTATTCGGTAAGAAAATTCCACACCAAATTGTGTTTAAATAATTAATAGTATATTACACTACAAGGGCAGAAAGTGTGAGATTCCTGCACTGCGCGCCATGATGCCCGAGGCGAAGCCGAGGGCATCATGGCGCGCAGTTCAGGGCTCTCACACTTTCTGCCCGTGTAGTGTATACTATTTTTCTTGCTACCCCGCAGAAAATACGGGAAAAAATTAAATGTATATAAAAAAACTTGTGTCAAAATTAAAATCTGACGTTTAATTTAATTCTGACTTTTACATTCAAAATCAAACAAACTGTAGCGTTGTCATGGTAATTCAGCGGTGCCAATACAGTAAAAATAAAAGGTTGTATTTTAATTAACAAATTACTACTTTATAACAAATAAAAGTACCATTAAACACTTAAAACAACATAAAAAGTAAAAAAGTAAAAACATAAATTGTTTATTTGTTGTTATAATTGCAAAATTATGGTTTAAAACTGTCACATGTTGGCAGTACGAAATTTGAATGTTAAGCACACGACTAAAAAATTTTTACTCCCGCTATTAGAGTGTGCGCGTATAGCTTGACCAATGCAAGAAACGTAAACTTTCTGCCGTGAAATCGGGGACGAAACAACGTATTTTGAGTCGAGGTAGTAAGAAAAATTTATTTTTTGATTTAACTTGACCTCGACTTGATTATTTAGTTACCATGGCAACTAAGTCAACCCCAACCTAAAAGTTATTTCAGTTTTGAAGCTGTCAAGCGGCACGACGTAAAAAAATGTGAAATTGTCTGCTGTAATGATCAATCATCGTGCAATGACTTATTTACCAGCATTATTAGAGGATTGTGGCTCCTACTTGAAGAAAGAAAATTTGTTTTGAATTGTTCACGAATATTTGCATCTTAACTATTCAAAAGTCAAAGTGCTAAATGGAAAAAAAGGTGAATAGAATAGTGTCTAAATATTATATATATTTCATTAGACATAGACATTTAATCTATTTCAAGTCCTGCATTTTCGCCATTAAGAAGAAAGGAGGTGTCCAACGAATATAGAAAACATCTAAACTTTGTAATGGAAATGTATCAAAATTATCATGTAAACAATTAAAAACCAGATTGTCAAAAAAATATTCTGTCATTATAAACGTCAATAAAATTTCCAGTATAATTTGCTGTTGGGTACCCACGAGGGAAAAATTTCCACTAAAATTCAACCGTTGCCATGGTGATCTATCAAAAATACACGTTTTGATTGGTTAAAAATTACAGGTGTGGAATTTTCTATAAAACCTCTCGCTTGGGTGTTGCAAAAACTAGAGATGGGAAAATTCCCGGAAACTTTCCATCGAAAATTCCTGAAATTTTCCGAAAGTTTCAAAAAAAAATTTTTTTATTGCGAAAATATTTTTTTTATGCCAGGGTTTTTTGTTATGATGCTGAATAATCCGGCTTCATTGAGGTTATGTAACATAACTTACATTATTTATACTTCTTCTTCTGCCTTAAATTAACACACATTAAATTCTTATTCAAAGTTTCTTGGCCTTGTATCATGGCCTTAACGAAAATCAGCGGTTAAACAATTGACATTTAAATGAAAAAAACAAGGAAAGTTTCCAAGGAATGTTTCCAAGGAATGTTTCCGGTAGCTTAAAAGAAACTTTCAAAATGAAAATAAATTCCCAATTGGAAACTTTCCAAAACGGAAAGTTTCCTTAAAATGGAAACTTTCTGATTCCCATCTCTAGCAAAAACAAACCATTCCAAAGTTATAAGAATTCAAAATTAAAGAAATAAAAATTCCCGTGTTATTAAAATGGAAAAACAACAAATGAATTGAGGCAAACCTTAATATTAATATTAAGGGCTCAAATAGGCGCCAACATTTTTGTTTTTTAATGTACTATTAATTTTTCAACACCATTGGTATAAAAAATAATAGTTCTTTTTTTTGAAACACCCTAATACATATGTATATATTGAACTTACCTTATGCGCGGTCATTAACTAAAGCTCATAGCGCAGCCCTTAAGGCTTCCAAATAAATAAAAATGAGATCCATGCTCAGGTCTCTTAGAGGTTTTTTTTGCCTGCTTGAAGTTCGCCAAAGCTTTTGACGTTTACACACATTTATAAACATTAGCTGCTAGTTTTTGCTAATTCCGAAGTTCTTCGAAATAATGTGAAAAAACAATAACGAATATACAGTAGATTATAAGGCTTTAAATAAATTATAGCATATTTGGATTTAATTTTATATAATTAGGCAAATACAAAAAAAAAATAAAAAAAATATTTATAATGAAGTAGTTACTTTATATTTTAAGTTTCTTTTCAATTAATGTTGTATAGGGTGAATCATTTAGACCTTTTTTTTTAATTCTAAATAAAACGCATAAAATGGAATTGGATGGCGGAATCTTTATTATGAACTGAAAGAACAATCTGTGACATTTATTTTTTGAAAATAATTTCATTTAAATGCTGGCCGCGACTACGCCTTAAGTGGTCCATTCGCAAGGTCCAATTTTCGATCACTCTTTCTAGCATTGCGACCGGTATCTGCCCAATTACGCGAGTAATGTTGGCTTCTAAGTCCTGAATCGTAGCTGGCTTATCGACGAAGACTTTAGATTTAACATGACCCCAAAGAAAAAAGTCCAAGGGTGTGATATTACACGAACTAGACGGCCAATTGACAGGTCCAAAACGCGAAATTATCTGCTCACCATTTAAAAATGGCGCACCTATACTATAGGTCCTATAGTCATAGTATATATACTATGCCATGTTGATTTGGAATATAAAAATTATAGGTATGATAAATCCAAAAAAATACCTAGTATTTTCTAAATATTTTTTATTGCATTTTTGCTTTAAAAACATATATATTCATACTATAGATTTATTTCATATTTTTATAGTATAAAATTAGTTCTCAAAAAACAATAAACAAGTGGCTTTACGGAACCTAACAATTTAAAAAAATAATGTTGTTCTTAACGGTGCTGTGCCAAAAAAAGGTATTTAAACTCTACAATGTAGAGTATTCATACATATATTTCATATATTAAAATATTAAAAAAATTTTATACAGGGTGTCCCAAAAGTCAACGATATCCTTTGGAGGACTGATAGACCAACTCATGACGATAGTCATGCTTATAAGCAGAAAATCAAAATATGACCTTAGTAAAAAATCGTTAGTTTTTGAGATATTGTCATTTTTATGAATTTTGTAAAACTTGACACCTTAGATCAGTTTTTCGAGTGCCACAGCTACAAAATCTACTATTAATTTAATTTTTAATTGTAATTAATAGCAGTCCTATTCAGGGTTACGCAAAATAAAATATAATCTAAGAATATAGAATGTTGTAGTTGTGGCACTCGAAAAACTGATTTTATGTGTCAAGTTTCAAAAAATTCATAAAAATGACAATATCTAAAAAACTAATGATTTTTTACTAAGGTCATGTTTTGATATTCTGATTAGTCATGAGCTGACCTATTAGTCCTTCAAAGGATCTTGTTGACTTTTGGGACACCCTGTATAAACACAAATAACTGAAAGGTTATACAATCTTTTTTTCAACTGCAGGCCTTATACAAAACTTTGTTTTATAAATAAAAATCTTAACAAAGCTTTAAATAAATAATAACCATTAAACATAGTTTTTTTAATATACCGTTAAACAATGTAAATAACTAAAGTTTACCTTTAACAAAAATATTTTTTATTCAAATATTATTTCATTAAATAAATATTATTATATTACAAATAAAAAATTGTTATAAAATTAAAATTATGATTGTAATAGTTATAAATTATTTATAAAAGTTATTTATTAAAATGTTTGTAAAAGGACTAAAATGTTGGAAAAATATGGTATTTAATGGAAATAAATATTATGAAGAGTTACTGGAATGGTTAACAAGATCAATGTGGAATATATAAAACAAAGAAAATTAAAATTGTTTGACGGTAAAAGTTACAGAACTGTATTATACAGTGTAATAAATGTGTAATTAAATAAATAAATAAAAATTTTAATTTAAAACTTAATATTTTAGCCTTCTTTCTTTTAAAATAAAGTACAAATACCTTAAAAACATCTCTGTGAGTTATACAAACATGACGTAAACTCTTAGTTTTTATGAAAATGATTTTTTTCGTAAAACGCATACTACAAAAGTTTTTCCCATTGGCAACAGGATCTGAGGACACTGTAGAAAAAAACCCAGACGTGTGGGGGTAACTGAGTTAAGAGTTAGTTTCAGCGGGCGAAAAAACATAAAAACATAGAAATATCATGGTCTTATTCATGGCACTGACCACTTCTCTTTTTTTCTGGGCCTGTGAGGGTCATCTATTATTTTTCCCGTTTTAGCTATTATAATACATAGTATCTATTCTGCCGTGCTTAATGAAAACGCCGTAACCAAAAATTTTGCGATTTTTGTTTTACGGCATTTTCTACTAGAACAATTCATCCTGCGTCTATCCCCGGTACTCAAAGAACCGTATCTATATATATATACGGTTTTTTGAGTACCGGGGATAGACACAGGATGAATTGTTCTAGTAGAAAATGCCGTAAAACAAAAATCGCAAAATTGTTGGTTACGGCGTTTTCATTAAGCACGGCAGTATTGACTGTGTTCGTTTTAGTGTTTTACTTGCAGGCCGCGGGTTGAAGACCACTGAAGTAAAGTATTAAATATATGTATTTTATAAATTTATTTTCTACGTTTTAGGAGGCAGGTATTCCCATAGACATGGTAGGTGGCGTTAGTATAGGTGCTTTTATGGGAGCCTTATGGTGTCAAGAAAGAAACATTACAATAGTAACACAAAAAGCTAGGGAATGGTCAAAGGTAAGAAAAACTTTAAAAAAGTAGCCTAGTGAATATATAAACCTAGAATATATTAATTAAATATTTAAAATTAAATTCAATTTTCTTTTAAATTCAACCCTGTTTTATAAACACATTTCTTTTTAAGAAAATGACTCAGTGGTGGCGTCAGATTTTGGATCTAACTTATCCCATGACGTCCATGTTCAGTGGTAGAGATTTTAATCAGACAATAAAAGGCACCTTCAACGATACGTATATTGAAGACTTGTGGTTACCGTATTTCACGGTAACGACAGACATAACCGCCTCGTGTATGAGAATTCATTCGCATGGTAAGTTTTTGGTTTGCTTCCTGTTTTAATTGTTTATATTCTTATTGTGTACTATGATTAACTATGTAACGCTAAGTAAGCATAATGTTTTGACAAATTACCATAATTATTTGCATGCGCTATTTAGAAATTGGTAAAAAGTATATAGATATAATTATTAATTATATTTTTTACTAATGATATATAAGGGTATTTGGTTATTTCATTTAATACAACAGACAAAAATTGAGGACAAAGTAAAAATATTGTTTTTATTAGACCTTGAAGAATAATAATTAAAATAGTTAGCTAATAGTTAAAAATAAAAAAAATCGTAATTAAGATTTAGACATTGTCCTATTTTTATTGTTAATTTTTGGTCAAGTCAAATTGCGCACCACCTTGAAGGTCTACAGACCCCAGGAATCCTAGAAAATTTTACCTTCGTTATTTAAAAAGATACACAGGATACATATTTTCTTTAAATGGCAACATTGCCTACTAATAAAGTGGAAGTTTAATTCTTAATCATCATGACAAAATGAACAATATTAAAAAGTGTCCAAATAAATTGACAACATTCGTTACTTTAAGTTATAGGTTATTTATTTTACATCAGACTGGACAAAAGCAAATACAGTCCCTGTACCTGTCAGGAACCAATAAAACCATACATTAAATCTATGAAGAAAAGCTAAACAAATATTAACATTATAATTATGACCGTTCTAATAATTACACAGCCCCACAAAAAAATCGATGTTCTGGCCTGGGAATCAGACCATGTTTACCATATGTTTTTGGGGTCGCTGAAGCCGAATCCGGCCCGTTTAACCCTATCACGTCAGGTTTTCAAGATAACCTCAAATAACCTAATAATCCAAGCCAATAAGCCTAAAACCAAATACCTTAAAACCAAAGCTTTTTATTCAAAGCTGTTTATTCACAATAACTTTATAACCTTTTATATTGAACCATATAAATCCATAACCAAAGAGCCCTACCCCAATAACCTCATAATCCGAATCCCAATAACCACATAATTTAGGCAATTGAACTCAACCTATTATCATGCAATCTGTCATAGCGAAATAATTTCGTAACCGAAGCTGTTAACCAACAATAACCTTATGATTTGATATATTGAACCCCATAAGCCATCCCCCAATAACCCTATAATCTGAACCATAACATAAGTTAATCCATTGCAATCTTTTATGGCGCAGTAATAAAACTCAATTAGTTAAACCCCAAGATGTAAAAGGTTATAAAGTTATTAGGAATAAACAGCTTCGGTTATAAAGTTTTTGGTTTTAAAAAGGCTTTATTAGCTTGGATTGTTAGGTTATTTGAAGTTATCTTGAAAACCTGACGTGATGGGCTTAAACGGGCTCCGGATTCGGCTTCAGCGACCCCAAAAACATATGGTAAACATGGTCCGATCCCCAGGCCAGAAGATCGATTTTTTTTAGTGGGGCTGTTTTATCTAATGTGAAATTACATATATATATATATATATATATAGATTGATAAAGGGTACAATGTCACCTCCAAAACGGAGACCCTTCATACGTTGTGACCTCATATATGACGCTGTGACCTCCAAATTCGGAGGTCACAGTGTTTAACCATATTTTTGACATTGGGGGAGTGTCAGTAATCAATCTGTGCAAAAATATTTCGGAGGTCACTTTGACCCCCCAGTCTCTTAAAAAGGAACTTTTAGTTCCACCATATATGAATTGGCGCTAGTGTCGCTTTTTAATCAGATTCAGCCACACCAAAGTTACCTCCGTCATGTATACGTACATTTGTTACCTCCGAAATTTGGCAACCTTGCAATATCTCGCGCAGTCATAGATGTTCAGACTTGATGATCTTTAATACTTCTTATATGTTATTTGTTACGCAGTTACGCGGTTTGACTTTTGTTCTAACATCTTAAGTGTAAAATAACGATTTAAGTTAAAAATATATCTTCCAGGACGTAATTAATAATCCAGAGACGTACATAATTAGGTAAATGCATTATGTTTATAGAAATGGATATTGTAAAATAATTCTTTTAGATTTAGACGATACTAGTAATGATGAAATCATTACCAAAAAAGATAAAGAATTTAAACAAAAAAAGTACAAAATGATTTTAACACATAAAATGTGTTTAAACAATATTTTTTACTCACACAATCTTTTTTTACTTTTATTTGTTTAAAAATGTGTTATTATTTTTAGGCTGCACCAATATGGAAATTGGGTTAATAAAGGATAAATTCCTTAACCATATTAAAAAAATATTTATTCATCTAGCAAAGAAATTAAATCTTTTCTAGAACAAACGAAAATAAAAAGAAGTGTATCCCTTATTAAAGCCAAAGTCCAACACCTTAAGAAAAACGAAAAAAAAACATTAATTAGTTACCCTTATGATAATTATAATTATAATAATTATTATTCATAACTATTTTAATAGATAAAAATGTTTTACTTTACTTATGTTTTTTAGTTATCCCTATTTATTGTTTACTTAAATTTCTTTCTTATATTTTTATTAATATAATAATAAAAATATCAAAAATATTAAAAATAAAAATATTAGAAATAAAGAAATAATTAAAAAAGTAAAATTGACAAAATAATAAAAAAGTATACTAATAAATATATTCAAAATGATTGGGTATAATAATTATTAGAAAAATTATTAAAAATAATTAAAAAAGTAAAATTGATAAAAATAATAAAAAAGTATACTAATAAATATATTCAAAATGATTGGGTATAATAATTATTGGAAAAATTATTAAAAATAATATAATAAGATTAATTTTTTAAAATTATAAATAAAAATAATATGAATAAAACAATTAAAATAATACAATAAAACTAAATAAAAATAAATAAATAATGAAGATTGTAAAAGAAATATAAATAATTGAAGTAGATACCTACGTAATAAAAATATTAACAAAAAAAATAATTATAAATTATATAAATATAAAATATAAATTAGAAAAAATAAAAATAATACAAAAATACAATTGAAATATTAAAAATAATAATATCTACTAATAAATATTAAAATAACAAAACTTATTGATAATAATAATATTAATAATTCTTTCAAAAGTCAATCGGTTTGAAAAGTTTTTAAAAAACTACTTGCAAGCAAAACAGTACATATACAATGTGACCCATTTTTTTTTACAACTCACCCCTGTAAAATCATTAATTATTGTGCGATTTTAAACGGATTTGTTTTATGGAGTAGATCTTGATAAACTGTATATTTGGAGCAAAAAACGCCATATTTGTACAAAATGCAAGGCCTACTATGTCAGTTTTTAAGAGTAATTTTTTAAGAATTCATATTAGCGATTTTTTAAACAAAATCTAAGCACGGCACTGGATTCACCACCCCCTCAAAACGACCCTTTACTAAACTTTATTAAAAAAATTTAAGTAGAAAAATGCACAATAAGTACAAAAATTTATCGTCGTTATCCATGAAAAAAACATTGAAATAAAATTAAACTTATAATAAGTATACCATGTTATACTATTAGTTTAATTTTATTTCAATGTTTCTTTCATGTATAACTTGACAAAATAATTTTTTGTAGTTATTATTTTTCTATATTTTTCTATTTACATTTTTAATATAATTAAGTATAAGGTCATTTTGAGGGGTGGTGAATCCAGTGCCGTGCTTAGATTTTGTTTTAAAAAAATCGCTAATATGAATTCTTAAAAATTAACTCTTAAAAACTGACATAGTAGGCCTTGTATTTAGTAAAAATATGGCGTTTTTGCAAAAATACAGTTTATCGAGATTTTACCTTTAAAACAAATCTGGTAAAAATCGCACGATAAATAAAGATTTTACAGGGGTTATGTAATAAAACATTTTTTTGCCATTATACCTGCAAGACCTATCATATACCAATACGTTCTTTTTTAAATCAAATAAATTATTTATTTCAAAGTACTCCATTTATATTATTTTTAATATTTTGTCTTTTATAACAAAAATAATAATAATTATTATTATTACTAAATAATGTATGGCACATATAGCACGAAGCAGTGGACAAAATAAATCTGATATATATCCCAGATACTAAAGATACGTTGCGACCTCCGAAAATCCGGCAACACTGTCGGAGGATACAAGGCTGTTTGTTTCTCCGAAATTATATATATATTCGGAGGTGACTTTGTATCTTGAGTATCTCCAGTTTGCGTAAAAAAATTAACATTTTAAAAAATTAAAAATTGCTTCCCCTCTTGTGGTGGCGTTAATATTTAAGGCTCCCCCCCGCAATATATGCAATCAAAATAAAAATCGTCCATTCCGCAGACCCGGAGGAGAGGTGGCCCTCTCAACTTAACGGAGGTCACAGCTGACCACTTATCTATATATATATATATATATATATATATATATATATTAATGGTTTTTCGGGATCTGCTCCGTGTTGTAGGTTTTTGGTTCTTAAAAGAACCGCAAGTCTGACGACTTTTCTTCAGGTCTTATCTGCTGGGGTGTGCTGTTGCTGCTCTGCTGCGAGTTAGACGTGGAGATTCGGTCTATGAAAGTTTTGCATATAGAGCTGGAATAAAACAGTGGATAGCTTTTAAAGACTGTATAGTATTTGCCACGAAGATCGGTCCTGGGGGTCCCCAGAACTTTTTTACTTGTCTCAATGTTTACGTTCTCATATCTTTTTAAATAATATAGGTAGAACTTTTTTAACAATGTTCTATGATTCCGGAAGGTCTGTGGATCACACACCTTCAAGGTGGTGCGCGACTTCTGGGACACCCTGCATAAATTATCATTAATAACGACGCGTGGAAGACATTTAAATAAAAAAGAGTTATGTGCGGTGGTAGAACTGTCCCCTATTATTTTACAGACTTTAAGCTCGATCCTTCTATCACTTTTTATACAACGGTTGTTTCAGCACATTAAATTTATTCGCAACATGCGAGTCCAAAATCGCAGATCACATCTGAGATTA